AGGGGGGGGGGGGGGGGGGAGATGACAGGTTTCTCAACCGAGTTTGAGTGTGAGCACCGTATCAGTATGTAGTGCCGGGGGAGGGAGTTCTAGGGCGGATTGTTTGTGTGCGTGTGTGATTGTGCGAGGCTGTGTGTGGTGCGGTGGGGTGCTATGTACGTACCGCTGCTGATGTCACACCAAGCAATCGAAGTGTTCAGCGAGGTTGCTACCCCGGGCGAAGACGGTGTACGTGTTGTTGAGTCGAGCAGTTGGCTTGTGGAGTTGTGCAGTTGGCGCGAGGTTGCTCTCTCTCTCTCTCTCTCTCTCTCTCTCTCTCTCTCTCTCTCTCTTGTGCACATCGGTGTTATTATCCTCTCTGTTTCTTTTGCTGCGATTGTTCACAATTTACCACATTGTGTAGAGGGTGGTTCTCACAAACGTGTCCAATCGCTTCGTGTGCATGCACACACACACACCTACATACCTCCCCCCAACGTGCGGGCGGTGTGTCCAGGGCCCGCCTGGAGGCGAAGCGCAAGAGCTTGAAGGAGTCAGAGCGCCGCATGCACCAGGCGGCAGCGAGACTGGGAGGAGAGGACCTTGCCGGACCCGACGGCACCGTCAGCGGCGGCAGTTGTAGCGGCGGCGGCGGCGGCGGCGGCGGCAGTGCCGACCTCCCCGAGGCGTCGTCTTTTGACCCCGCTGTGAGGCAAGGGGCGTCGTCAGCGGCGATTACTCCGGCTGCGGTGGCGGCGGCAGCAGGAGGGGTGACGGGCTGGGAGGGCACCGACGACGCGCGGGGCAATGACAAGGAGGTAGGTAAATGTCCACATGTATGGTCAACTTTCGGTCTCCGCGCCATACCCACGCAAGAGTTCTCCGCCTTTGTCTGTAGTTCTGTTGCTGGATAGTTGGACACCATAATTGGGTGCCACCGGATGTTGTGTGCTTGTTTTCCCTCTCTTCAGCCCGAACGCGCACGAACTACTTGATTCAGGCGCCGCAGAAGCAGCAAAACCACACAAAACCGCCTCTTGACGTGCTAGCGATCCCCATTGCCCCCCCTCCCCCAACGACATGTCTTTCGATGTCTCATATTTTTCCTCTGAAGAATTTTCCGGCCCAGCTGTCCGAGGCGGAGCTGCTAGGCAAGAAGCACCAACTAGCGGCGAAGCAAAAGGTGTGTTCGTGTGTGGCGAGTGGCAAAGTCGGGGCTAAACGCCCGAAATGCACGTTCTGACTTTGCTTTGCGTTCATCGTCAGTCTTGAGGTGCGTTCAAGGTGCAACAGTGAAGGGAACGAAATACAGTGTTTACGGGAACGATAGCTTACCAAGCGTTCGCGGCGATGATACCCAAGTAGAAGGAGAGGAAGAAGACTATTATACCTACCGCGGTCGTCACGTGCTGACGAGAAAACCTCTTCTTCTTGGCGGCCGTGATCGACCGAACACCACGTCGTCCATGCCCTGCTTCTGTTTCCCTTCTCATGTACCCCTATCCCCGACGTCCCCTGATTTCCTCATTTCCCTGCCTGCCTCCTCCGTCTGCCTGACCCCAGCTGCTCTCAACCGAGCTGAGAGGCCTCCGTCGCCAGTCGGGCCAACGCCAGCAGCACCAGCATCAGGAGGAGGGGCGTCCAGCGAGCGGGAGCGGGGCCGCGGCGGCGGCGGCGGCGGCGGCGGTTGTGGTGGCCGGCAGCGTGGACGAGGTCACCGTGACGAAAAGGAGGGCCAAGGTGAGAAGGAAGAGGCGGGAGAAGAGGCAAGGCTAATCCCCGACAACACGGACACATGAAAGTACTTCAAGACCAGACTACCAGGCATTATCGGGGGGATAATCACCCCCGCCACGCAAACGCTCGCTCGTGCGATAGAGGTATGCGCTCTGGACAGACGTTGTTCAGAACCTAACTAAGACGAACCCTTTAACGTCTGTTTCTGCTTGCGTTTCTGTCTGCTCTTGCCGTGTCTGCCTGTCTGTCTGCCCGTCTTTGGCCCGTGGAGGTCGGCATGTTGAAGCAACAGCTGAGGAGCGTTCTGGAAGGCACGCGTCAGCTAGAGGCAGGAGTGGTCGCTTGCGAAGGTGCTGAACTCGAAAATCTTGTCGTGTGTGGATGCAGGCCGCCAACTCTCACCGCTTGACTTACTGTACAACAGACGTCGTACGTACAATGCATCCACGGGAATGCTGTGACCTTTGAGACCTCTGACGTAGAGACGTCGGCAGCCACAGCAAGAAGGACGTCGAGCCCGACCGCCAAATTCTTTCGTGGTTTCATGCCGTTCTCTCTATCGCGTGACAACAGGGACCCGCGCGTATTCGCTTAAAACACGACGCTGCAACAGAAGTGCTTTCGTCGAGTCTCCTTCTTCCGGATGGATTATGTCCCCAACGGATGATGATGTCATGTCATCACCGTCCAAGGGAAATAGACTCCTTTCTCACACCTGACCATCATATATTACCCCCAGCCATTGCTGTCACCTCAATGTATCCCAAACCCTACCGTACTCCCCGGGTCCCCGAACACGGCGCAATGCGGTCTTGTCTGTCCTTGCGGCAGGCCGCATGCACGAAGCAAACGAGGCTTGCTACGCTTCCGTTCGGGGGGAGCTACGGTCCCTGTTCGGCGCGCTCTGCCGTAACAAGAGCGCCGATCTCGTCATGGCCGGGCCGAAGGTGGGCCGCTCTTATTCTGTCGTGGTGTGGTCTACGTAGTGCCGAGGCGTCGTGCGGGGGGGGGGGGGGGCCCGGCCCGGGGAAAGGGTATGTCTGCCTGAACTTTCTGTGCCGGAAGGCTGGGTGGGTGGGTGGGCACAGCAGGACCCTAACTTGTTCCCCCCAAACGGGAACCCCCGCCCCTGTTTCCCTCCCCCAACAATGGGTCCCCCCCCTTTCC